GAACAAGCCGGCATTTAAAAATGGCGCCGGCTGGCTTATGCAAATGAAGCCCGAGAAATTCAAATCCCGGGCTTCATTTGCAAGTGCGGTATGCCTACATTACCCCGCTAGTTCGAACTAGCGGGGTAGTGTAGACATACCCAGAGAGATTAGAGAGGCTACAAACACACAAAACACATAATAAGGTGCGGGTTTCAAATATCCCCATATTGACTGGGTTCATGTCACCTCAGGACAAGACGCAGAGATAACATGTCTAGACACCTGGCTTAGCACCCAGTGTCTTGGCTGTCTCCCTGCGCACCGCGGGATCTGCTGGTAGCTCTGCATCTGGGGTCCTGGCTGCTGCCCCATGCACTAGGGCTTTGCTCCTCGTGTCAGCTGGGGTGGGAGGTGGGCGAAAAGGACACAGGTAAGGGCAGAGTGTCAGCCCTCCCACTCTTAAAGACGTCTCCATGCTACTGGTCACCAGTACCAGACGGTATTCACCCAAGCGTTCTGAAGGAAATCAGAAATTAAAGTGCAGCACTTCCAAATGTGGTATGTAAGCTATCGCTTACATCAGCCTTGTACCAGATTACTAGAGGACAGCTAATGTGACACCTTTAAAAAAAAAAAAAAAAAGCTTCAGAGACAATTCTGGCATTTACAAGCCATCAAATCTAACTTCAGTACCATTCAGACTGGTTGAAAATATAGTAAAGAACAGAATTATTAGACACACATGGCATGTCTACACTACATGGGAGATTGACACTGCCGCAGTCAATCTCATGAGGTTCGATTTAGCAGGTGTAATATAGACCTGCTAGATCGAACACAGTGGGTGCCTCGGTCACCATCAGCACTGCTACTCCTCACAAGGAGTACGTGAAGCCAATGGGAGGATTTGCTTCCGTTGACCTCCTACTCTATGGACAGGGTATTTGCGTAGCTGGAGTTGTGTATCTTACTGCAACCTTCCCCTGTAGCATAAACCAGGCCATAGGTGCACATGATTTGTTGGAGAAGAGTCAACACGGCTTTTGTAAATGCCTCGTCTATCCATAAGAATTTTCTGAGGAAGTTAACTAATATGTAGAGAAGAGTGATCCAGCTGGGATTGGTCCTGCCTAGAGCAGGGGGCTGGACTTGCTGACCTCCTGAGGTCTCTTCCAGCTCTATGATTCTATGAGTCTATATTGCGTACTTGGATTTTCAGGAAGCCTTTGACAAGGTCCCACACCAAAGGCTCTTAACCAAAGTAAGCTGCCCTAGGATAAAAGGGAAGGCCCTTGTGGATCAGTAACTGGTTAAAGACAGGAAACAAAGGGTAGGAATAAATGGATGATTTTCACAGGGGAGAATAAATAGCAAGGTCCCCCAAAGATCTATATTAAGCCTGGGTGTGCTGGCCAACATATTAATAAATGATCTAGAAAAGGGGTAAACAGTGAGATGGCAAAGTCTGCAGACAATACAAAATTACTCAAGTTAATGAAGTCCAAAGCAAAGTGTGAAGAGTTACAAAGGAATCTCACAAAACCAGGACACTAGACAACAAAATGGTAGCTGAAATTCATTACTGATAAGTTGAAAATAAGGGGGGATAGGCTAGAGGTCTATAAACCCATGAATGGCATGGAGAAAGGGAATAAGGAAATCTCATTTATTGCTTTACATACACAAACAGGGGGCACCCAATGAAATTAATGGGGTACAGGTTTAAAAGAAACAAAAAGGACTTCTTCACACAACACACAGCCCACTTGCAGAACCGATTGTTAGTTGACGTTGTGAAGGACAAAATTGGAGCTGCATTCCAACACAAATCAGATACGTTCATGGAGGCTACATCCCTCAGAGGATATTAATCAAGATGGTCAGGGACAAAGCCACATGATCTGGGTGACACTAAATTTCTGACTGCCAGAAGCTGGAGCTGGACACTTGCAGATGGATCTCTTGATAACTGCCCTGTTCTACTCATTCTCACTGAAGTATCTGGTGCCAGCCTTTGTCATAAGACAGGATACTGCACTAGATGGTCTAGAGCACCCACGGAAAAAAAATAGCAGGTGCTTAGCACCCACTGGTAGCCCAGATTCCCCCCTGCACCCCAGCACCTCCTACCCAAAAGTGGCCTCCATTGAGCAACTCCTCCCCCTCCTCTCAGTGCTTCCTGTCAGCTGCAATCAGCTGTATTGCAGTGTGCAGAAGGCGCTCGGAAGGAAGAGGAGGAGGGGCAGTAGAGCACACTTGGGGAAGGGGGCAGAAAGAAGTGGGGAAGAGATGGGGTAGAGGTGGAGACTTGGGGAGACAGGGTGAGGGAGGGGCAGGGCCTGAGGTGGAGCCAGCTGGAGCAGATGACAACTAGATAATGGAATAATCAAAAGGAAGATTATATGTGAAATAAAGATGCTGGTAAATCGAACAAGGATGTTTGCAAAAATTTAATAATGTTGGTTAAAGGCTGATTACTATATATAACTGTATAATGCAGCAGCTACAGTGTGCAGTTTTAGCAAATGGACACAAACATGTAACGCACCTTTGGAAACATTCTGAAGATTTCTTGATTGATATGGAAGATTCCACTAGTATCCACTTCATATTTCAGCTTAGATCCCAAGGGAGTATTTTTCTGTGTGGTGAACAGAAAGGCAGGGGCATTGCAACATCTTGACAAAGTAGACCTGCCAAATGAACAATAGGTGAACAAGTTTACATGAACCAACAGCATGGGTTAAAGCAGTTTTTCTTAAACTTTTTAAGACCAAGGAACACCAAACAATATTTTTTTTTATGAGGAACACCAAAGATTTTTTGTTGAGAGAAAAAAAAAGGTTGGGGGGAAAGGGGCTGGAGAAAAGTTATTGAGAAAAAAAGGTCACCTGCCCCTTTAAGGGCATCCATTTTGAATTCTGTTCTCTGTGGCACACCTCCAACTACCTTGCGGCACACCGGTATGCCACGGAACACAGTGTAAGAAACATTGGGTTAAAGCTAAGGGTTACCACGAGTATTGATACACACAGAAATTGCAGTCCCAATGATGTTATGGTTAATGTGCTACTCTCACCCTAGTTTAAATATACAGAGGAGTGAGTGCTGCATGCCAAAATGGGATCAATTTCTTGGTTCATGTCTTCCATTTAATGCCTTTTCTACTTTTGTCTATGCAACAGAAATCACTGAATTACTCCCAGTGTGATCCCAGAGCATGTTTTGTTTTCGAGCCAGTGCACATATCTCTGATCCTACCATATCCACAGTGATGGATAGATGTGCCCAAAGTTAAAACAACGCTTTGGCTTCATCCAGATATTGGCCATACAAGACTGTGTTCCAAAGCTGGCTTCTGAAATCACTGTAGATGAACTTCAGCAAGGACATAAAATAGAGTGTTCTAGGGATAAATGGCAGAACTCTCTGGAGACCAGAAGCTGAGGAGGCCAGAGAATTGCAATTGAGAAAGCTAGTAAGGAAAGCTAATCAACGGAAAGAGCTCTGAATACAGAACAAACTATCAAGATTTTTATTCTGAAGACCAGAGGGCCAGATTCTTGGCTGGGGTAAAGCAGTGTCATTAGTGAAGTCAGCCTACTGGCAAGCAGTCATTTACACCAGCTGAGAATTTGGTCAGCACTCTTGACACAAGGAGCATCATAATTAACTACGGGTTTATAACTGGAGCACGGCAGTAGGAGGCAGAACTCCAGTGTTCCATTCTGTGGTTGACTTCCTGTGACCTTCCACAATCTCTCTGTGGACACACTGTGCCCCTCTCTCTTCTCTCTGACACATGGTGGGGTGGAGCTTGAGCATAAATTTCCCATCTTCCACACAGAGGAGAGTCTTAGGTGTTTCTAGAGCTTACTTGCACCCACACCCTTCTGTGATCCCTGACTTTTTAAAAAATCACACAACCAATACCTACTTAAAACCATTGGTCTCCCAATTATAACAAACAGTAAAAAGTAATGACCTCTTCATGTTTACTTAGTCTTTCATAACCATTGATATGTGATGACCTCACTCCTTTACAATCAATTACATTGAAACTCACCCCTTTTAGTTTCTAGTCTCATTAACAGAACCCCTTCTTACTTGAATAGGTTGGCTTCTGTCACATTCATCTCCCATTTGCACATCTGTAGGCTCTTCCACCTGTCGAACAATTCCGTTTGCTTCACCCTAAAGACAAAGACAAACACTTCTGAGTGTACTTTTATTAAATTCACTTGTCTCCATGCATAACACTGCACTGATGATCAATGAAAGGGTTATTTGATAAGAAGAGATATCTAAGCCACATAAAAGCTCTCTGTCTAAAATGTAATTCCTATTTCATTAGGAGAGTGGTGAAGCACTGGGATGGGTTACCTAGGGAGGTGGTGAAATCTCCATCCCTAGAGGTGTTTAAGTCAAGGCTTGACAAAGCCCTGGCTGGAATGATTGAGTTGGGGTTGGTCCTCCTTGTAGCAGGAGGTTGGACATGATGACTTCCTGAGGTCTCTTCCCGCCCTAGGATTCTATGTATGATCAAAAGCATCCCTGTATTCACACCATGCACGTTGTAATGATCTTTGTGCAAAATACACCTTCTGCGGTATCATTTTTAAAAAACCTAACCCCACACCGATTGTCAGTATTCTTTTGTAGTGGATGTACCAAATGTCTATGAAGCATTATGAACATAAACTGAAATTATGACGACAATTTGGGGAGTGGCTAACCCAATTTCTCAAGGACAGAAGACAAGCTGATGATGCTAGTCAGATGTCCACATTGATTGACTATTACCTGTCAAGTGACCATTCTTTGCCTACAAAGGGAGGCGGGAACAAAACAGTCTGCATTTTAGCAAAGAACAACATGGAACCTTGTTCACCACAAGACTCCATGTCTTCACCTTCTCAACTGGAAAGAACTTTATCTCCGGCTAACTCTCAGACAAATGCATTGGAAAGGGTGACTGGACTATAAAAGTGAGGGGCAAAACAATCCCATCTTATCTCTCTCACCTCAAATGACAAAATGCCCTTTGACTTTGAGGGGACATCTTGATCTGAGAATTTGGTCAGCCCTGTTGCTGGGAACATGTAGTAAGGATTTTACCTTGAACCAAGTCTGGTTTATTAAGTTTTTAGCTGCTAGGAAGCACTTTAACTTTTTTGCTCTTGTAACTATTTGTACACGGATGGCTTATACTTGGACTCACTTAAAATCGCTCTCTTAATAGTTAAACAAACTTGTTTTATTTTTAATCTATAACTAATCCAGGATTGTGTGTAAACTGAAATGTTTGGTAACTCCAGTTAAAACTGCAAACTGTTGACTTTACAGGGGCAATGGACCTTTAATATCTGAACTGCCCTGGAAAGGGCTGAACAATGCTGAACACACGCTTTGGGGGAAATGAGGGACTGGGAGTATGTTGGGGTCACCTGCAAGTAGTGAGCAAGGCTTCTGAAAGCCAGCATGTGATTGGTTGTTGCTGACAGGCTTCTGGGATCAGATTTTCTAGGGCAGGACTGCACAGACACTGTGGGTGTAACCTGCATGCTGGCAAGGTGTTTGTGAGTGGCCCAGCTTGAGAACGACAACACTAAAGCATTGTGAAGCACAACCCCTCACAGATTCGGATTGCACCCTGGAATGTGACATTATGGTTCTTCTTATTGTTATTATTTCTACTACAGTACTGCCTACAAGTCCACAGCCAGTACACTACACTAGAAGCTGCACAAACATATTCCCTGCACCCAAAAGCTTACAGTCTAAATAAACAAGGCAGGCAAAGGGTAGCAGAAGAAAGAGAAGCATGGAGAAGGGAAGTGACTTGTCTAAGGTCATGTAGAAATCAGTACAAAAGATGAGGAGAGTCCAGCACTGTCTGAGTCTGGTCTCCTATCTACTAGACCACAAGTGTTATACGTTTACATTAAAGACAGACCCGGAAGCCTGATTAAGCAGTGGCAGTTAGTGTGAAGACATACATCCTTTTATGTCTGTTTCTTCTAATCACACTTCTACTTTCAGATTCTCTTCCTTGGACTCTGGAAGAAACCCGGAGAAATAGACGTTTAAAAAAAAACAAGGTGATCTCTTGTGTGTGATTTTCGGAATTCCACTTGCACTGATTGCGAATTTATGTACTCACAGAGATTAGATCTTGGAATTTCAATGGGCCTAAGGAAATTCGGTGCCCAGTTTCTTTGGCTCCTTTGAAAATTCCATGCTTAAAGTATGAGGCCATAAGTTCTTCTCAAAGGCCTTGTCCACACAAGGAGAAGTCAGCCATTAGATAGCTGTACCTTTCCAAGCCCCTAGTCTACATGTAAAACCATTATAAACTATGATTTCCACCATTACAACTTAACCCTGCTGGAAACTGGCAGAACACATTATTATTATTGGTTATTTATCTTGCTGTAGCATCTAGGAATCTAGTCATAGACTGGAACCCTTTGCGCTAGGCATTGTACAAACAAAGAATAAAAAGAGAGCCCTTGTGCCAAACAGTTTAAATCTAAGGCCAGGTCTACTCTGGGGGAGAAATTCAACTCAAGATACATAACTCCAGCTCTGAGAATAGTGTAGCTGGAGTCGACATACCTTAAATCAAATTTCTGCAGTGGCCCCACTGCAGGAGGTTGACAGGAAAAACTCTCCTATCAACTTCCCTTACTCCTTGCAATCCCATGGAATATTGGGATCAACAGGGGTGTCATCAGTATTTGATTTAGTGGAGGCTTACTAGACCCACTAAATTGAACCACAAAAGATTGATCTCTGAGTAAGTACAGACAAGGCCTAAGTAAGTTGTCCTGAGGCCAAATGAAATGGATAGATGATTTGCTTATCTACACTAAGGACATGTCCCCATTTGAGCTGGGATTCCCAGTTTGCATAGACAGACCCGCACTAGTTGTACTCAATCTAGAACCTAAAATAGCATTATGTACATAGGTGAACGGCTGTTGGCTTGGGCCAGTTGTCAGAGTATGTACACAGGAATCAGATGGGGCTATATTTGGAGTGGCTATCTTGAGGAGCCACTTGTATCACTACAGACAAGTCTAAAGTCTACACAAGCTGGGAATCACACCTTCCAGCTCCAATACAGATGTACCCTCAGTGATGCATTGAGGTAGCTATACCAGTGGCTAGCCACTGAATGTGGCAATCAGGGCATGCCCTCAATGCAACCAATGCCTAACACCCAACAACTACTCTTGAATCTAATGGGAAAAGCCCCCATTGACTTCAAGGGAGGTTGGATCAAGCCCCTACTGCACCTTTTTCCCGGCTGTATTGTTGTTAGTGCTTTATCCAATCTAGTTTTATTTGTCTCCAGTGATGGGACTCTTTCCACTTCCCTTAGGGAAACTTACTCCACAGATTTTTTTTCTGAAATCTTAAATTTTCCTTTGTTTAATTTCACGCCATGCACCTTGATGTACTGTAATGCATGGTTTCTGCCTCAAAACCTTGCTTCTCTGCTGACTGTCCCTGCACCACAGCCGGGCAGATCACAGATCATTCTGCAGCTGGGCAGATCACAGCCTCATCATTGTGGCATCTCTGCAAGCTTCAGTAAGTAAAAAAAGTGTTTTTAACACGGGGAACCAAGAGAACATGTTTAAGAGTTGGGGAAGTTCTTACTGCTCAGCTATTTCATGGAGCAGAACATAAATTAGCCTCCTACTAAGAGTCTGAGTCAGGTTGCTCTGTAGATTTGACATGAGAAGATTCTTTTATGTCTTTTGGGGAAAGGAAGAGAATTTCAGCAGTCAGCATCATGGGACTAACCTAAAACTCTAGAAGTTGCTCCTACCAATCTAGATAAGTTCATATGTGGTCTTCCACATCTGGACCTAAATATTATGGGGATTCACAAATACCTTGATAGACTAGATATGTGATACTCCCTTTCAGACTTTGATGAAGTTTGAGGTCTCTTTGAGGAGGCTGGATGTTGGTGTGTTTGAGAGCTTTGAATGTTACCTATGCTGATTTTCAGTAAAATAATAAGGGTCTATTAAGAGTAGCTTTATATTTAACACTGGCATAAGTTAGAGCTTTCCAGAGTGTGGAAGGCACTCTTAAAGAACTAGGTCATACAGTACCTTCTGTAGCCCATTGGAGCACGCTAATTTGGAAATCTTCCATTATCCCTGAGGGATAAATTTGGGAAAAAAGAATATTCCACAAGCACAATAGAAGAACCCAGCACGGCTAACAGATCTTTGCTGGATTAAACAACTCACAGTACCACAGTAAATACTAAAATAATATAATTATAACTGCACATCCAAAACTAATTCTATCCCATTAAATGGGAGTCCACTGAGTGCGACTGGATAAAATATAGAGAGGGGATTTGGATCAATTGACTGTTGGGATGTAAACAGGTAATGGGTAACTGAGGTAACCCATGGGACTGGCAGCCACCAACCAGCAGCTGAACCCTGTGGTTAACCATGTAACCAACAGAGTTTTTATCAGTTACACAGTTCATCTTTTTATATATATTTTTACATCTCTAATCAACAGAATCATGCTTTGTGGCCGGATTGCCTAAATTACTTGACAAATGGAAACACACATGATATGATTCAGTAGAAGGGCCTAAATAGACTATTACAGATAAAAACATAGGCTCCTTTGATTAATCAGTGTAACATTAATCAAAAGTGAATGTAAAGAACCCCACAGTCTCCACTGAGAATCAAATTCTTACTCCCCATTGCTTTGACCTGGAAGCTCAAAATCCCCTGCTCTTTCAAGATGTATGCCTGACTCACACATCTTTAATCCCTCATTATACATGTGTTTCTAACCCGTCTGAGCAATTGCTCATACTTACATAGAGAGCACTTTCACCTCAATGATATCCTGTCTTAATTCCAGGCATTTTGTGGAGTTGTACTCAAAAGGCCCTTCATAAAACTCAAAGTACCTAAAGAAGAGCAAAGACAAAAATAACGGTTACAAAAAGATTCTAGATTCTGAAACATAGGTTTATGTATCAAGGGAAGCATGCCTGAAACCAGTAGCAGTATTCCCTGTCTCATTTAAGACTGCAAGGTCTGGCCCCAGGACAAAGCAAAGTTATTATGCAAAAGCAAAACACTGGTATAATGAGTATCTGCAAAATGCCAGTTGGGCCAAGTGTCCCTGTCCCATTGGAAAGTCCAATGCTGATGGTCAAATTGTCAAGAAAGAGCCCCCGCCACCATTTTCTATTTAGCCAATTTACCCATTTGGCCAGGTATTTAAAGAACTCAGCTCTTAGTCAGAAGTCACAAGATTTTTCAAGCAGTCAGTACCCAATAGCGCTGGGAACAAAAGCTGCTGGTAAGTGATAAGTATCTTTGGCTGTGTCTAGACTACTATGACCTATGAGAAGAGGCTGAGGGAGTTGGATCTGTTTAGTCTGCAGAAGCGAAGAGCGAGGGGGGATTTGATAGCAGCCTTCAACTTCCTGGATACGTCTAAACTACATGGCTCCATCAATGGAGCCATGTAGATTTGTTTGTCTGGCAAAGGGAAATGAAGCTGCAATTTAAATAATCGAAGCTTCATTTAAATTTACATGGCTGCCGCGCTGAGCCGACAAACAGCTGATCAGCTGATTGTTGGCTCAGCGCGGCAGCCATGTAAATTTAAATGAAGCCGCGATTATTTAAATCGCGGCTTCATTTCCCTTTGCCAAAAAAACAAATCTACATGGCTCCATTGACGGAGCCATGTAGTCTAGACGTACCCTTTGAAAATCCATTGGCCTTCATTTAGATACCTGACTAGTTTCAAAGAACTTTTTGAAGATCTGCCCCTCATATCTTTTTTTAGGGTGAAATCTACAAATTCTATCTGCAATGAATAGTATATTGAGTTTGGTTCTTCTTGTCAATATCACAATTTTAAGCAGTTGACCTTTTCTTGGAAGGTTCTTAGTACACATTTTTATCTAAGCCCCTTTAATTTATAAAATGATGATTTAAGTGGTATGAAGTGGATTTAATCATTTAAATGGATTTACTAATCTACATCACAATAAAACTAATAATCCAGTTTTTCATGAAACAGACAGGAACACCTTGCTCTCTCAGTTAAACCTACCTACTGTATCCATTGGGCTGGGATGAAAGGCCAAATGAAATTAAAGTTCCGATATTCAAATTAGACAGCAGAGGGAGCCCATGCTGTCTACCAAATTTCATGAAAACATATTAGAATAACTAAAAGAATAATGATTTTAAACCAAGCTCCCTATCTGCCTAAATAATTAAGTAACATTTCATCACTAAAAGTCTGTAAATCAAGATTGGTTATCTTTTAGAAGATATATAGCCTAAACAAAAGCTGTAGGATTAATGCAGAAATTACTGGCCTGTGTCATACAGGAGGTCAGACCAGATTGTCATAATGTTCTCTTCTGACTTTAAACTCTATGAATCTATAAATACAGATTTCATTTGCTTTGTATTTTGTATGTTCTGTAATGGCAAAAAATACAAGGGTTTTCCATTTTGTGGTTATACATTGGGAATGAAACCAGAATGTGGGTTGATCCCTAACACATTTAAAACATTTTTAATTAAACTGCATCAAAATACTGGGTTTCCAATAACTATTTCTTTGAAAAATTCATGGGAAAAGTGACTTCTCTTAGCAGTCCAAGCATGCAGTTAATAATAAGTGCCTTAATTCTGGGAGTTCATCTTGGGACATCTAATTTGGAGAAGTAATGAGCACTCAGAGTCCCCAAAGAAGTCAACTGAAGGTAAGTGTATCCATGACTTTGTCCATAGTCAAAGTTACTCCAGTTTAACTTTACCGATTTAACAGCTGATATGATTAAACCTGTGCAAATCTTTTGTGGACACTCTGGCTACCTCCAGACTGCATCCCTCTGCCTACAGAGGGATGCAAATCAAGCACTTCGAAAGTGCAAACGAGCCTGGGATTTAAATATCCTGGGCTTCATTTGCATATTCACGTTCGGGCACTGTGCCGATCAAGCGCCCTTTCGAAAGTGAAAGTAAAGTCTAGCCACGGCTCTGCCGACAATGGGAAGCTTTTTCCGCAGATCCTGTACTCTTCAAAAAATGAGGGACCAAAAATGTAGTGACAGCTGGGTCATCCGCAGGATTTGCACTCAGTCCCTCCTGCTAGCCACTGCTTAAGCTAAAGAACCAACCTCAAAGATAGGAGCAGACTCACAATGCTCTTTATATGATTGGAGCAATAGAGGGAGACAAAGAGCCACATGGTATTCATGTTGCTACTTATATATACAGCAAGGTCCTACCCCGTCCTTTCAATGGGTATGAACGTGAGCCACCCTTTTCTCTCATTGGTTTCTGCCATCTCTTTGTTTCATTCTCTCAAGGCAATGCTGGTACCACTGTGGAGGGCAGAAGGAGTGAAAAATAGCAGCAACTATAAACTGAGAGTCTGAGAGTACAGCTAGACTGTGTGTGGGGGGTTCGGGATACCAGAGGTATCCCCAAAAAACTCCACCGCATCCAGGGAATGCATTTGCTCTTCTGCTTTTTTTGTAGAAGAGCAAACGCACTCTTTCGGAAGCTCCTGTATTCCTCGGTCCACGAGGAAGAAGGGAGCTCTCAAAAGAGGGGCTTTTTTCCCCAAATTTGGCCCAGTCTAGCTGGGCCAAATTTCAGAAAAGCTTCTTTTGACAAAATATCAGAAAAAGATACGCAAAACGAGGAGCACATTTTGCGTATTTTTTTCCGATAGATCTTCGCAGTCTAGCCATACCCTGATTCACCTCTAACTTCCTTTGACACTAGATTTACAACAGGGCAGCTCCATTAAATTCACTGGAGTCACTCCTTACTTAAATTACTGTGTGCAAGAGGCGTGTGCAACCCTGAATATGCACATTTCACTCCATAGCTAGAGGGTGAAATGCAATACCATGTAGACGTCCACTCCAAGGTAGTGGACCCACCTAGTCCATAGTGGGTTATTGTGAGATGTAAGGAGTTGGCCAGGTGCAATACCATGTAGACGTCCACTCCAAGGTAGTGGACCCATTTAGTCCATAGTGGGTTATTGTGGGACGTAAAGAGTCGGCCAGGTGTTAGCCTTGTGCACAGGGCTGAATATCACCCCGAATTAACAGAATATAAAGAAAGGCCAGGTCTGCACTAAAGCAGAAGGTCCAATTAAGACACGTGACTCCAGCTATCTTAATTACATAGCTGGAGTTGACGTATTTTAATTCGAGTTTCCCCACCATCCCCACAGTGGGAGGTCAATGGGAGTATACGCAGGAGCAAAAGTACCAGCCCACCAACAGGGGCTCCCTTTTAGTTCTATTTAGTGGGTCTTTACTAGACCCGCTAAATTGAGCTTCGGAAGATTGATCACGGCAGCATCAATCCTCCCCTAGTGAAGAGATGGCCTAAGTCCCTGGGAACCAAAAGAAGTTGTTAAAATCCAGATGAACTTTCTTCTTTCCTGTGCTGTTCACTGTCAACCTCCTAAAGTAGAGAGCCCCAGCTCCAATGTCAAACAGCTCACATTACCATATGGCAATCCACGGGGGGGTGGGGAGAGAAGTTGGCTTCTCTTACTGCTGCCAGAAAGGGAGAGCACACTTTACAAGCTAGGTATGAAATGTCCTGAGTCCCAGAGAACCCCCTGGATCATTTCCTGTTTACACAAACAGTCCTGCCAAAAGCTGAGAAGAGAACGGATGTTATATAAACTGGGGGCAAAGGGGTGGGGGAAGGGATTATATTAAACTAAACAGTGCCTACAGGATGAAAAGTAATAGTGCTATATTTATAACAGAGGAACGCCACTGAACAACATTTTGAGAGATGAGAGGGCCATATTGTGATCCCCTTGTTTTCACTGATCAGCCCCCCACTTCTTAGATAGCCCCATTACTTTCAATGGGATACTGTGAGAAAAAGGGATTTGCAGCCTGGCTCCTACATAGGCAACTTGTGAACATATTTCCTGAGGGGGGAGGAAGAGCTGAGCCCTCCCTGCACTCACTCCATACTGGGAACTCCTGGCCCACAGAGCCGGGCCCAGTTCTCTGCAACAGACCTTTGCTCTAGCTGCTCACAGATTTGTCTCCTACCATCAACTGTTACTTAATCAGCACATCTGCAGGCAGGCGGAGCCCTCCCCAGCAACCTCCTGGGCCTCCTACTGCCAGACAGGGGGCCTCAGGAGAAGTCTTCTCTGCCCCAGGCTCACCTCCCCCACCCCCACCACCTAAGGATCCTCCTCACTTTTTCAGCCAGGACTCTCCTTCCCCTCCCCCCACCATCACCTCAGGATGTCCCACTTTCCATTCCCAGGAAGTGACACTCAGGAACCAGCACCCCCTGCCTGGCTCTAGGTCCACCTGCCAGGAATACCCTGTGCTGCTCCTTCCCTGGTGCTACCAGACAGAAACAGATTTGGGGGGCTGAGGCCTCTTTTGCTGCATATAGCCGCCCACCTATAGGGTTACCAGATGATTGAAACAAAAATACCGAACCCCCGCCCCCCCCCCAAAAAAAAACACCGGGGGGGAAAAAAGACTCCAAGACTTATTAAGCAAAAATATATGTATATTAAATTAAAACAGCATGTCCTTTACTCAGGTACAGGGGAGAGGTTGAGCACTAAGACCCAGGGGAGTCATTGCTTCCTCTTGGTCTTTTTGCCAGCAGCCATTTTGTGCCAGCAGTCTTGAGGAACCAGGTAAGCATGGGGCCTGTGGTTGGAGGGCTGGAGGTGTTGGGGGCTGGGTGGGGCTCAGGGGAGCGGGGCAGAGGCTGGGGACCGAGTGTTTGTAGAGTTGCCAGGTGCCAAGCGGGCACCGAGTGTTTGTAGGGTTGCCAGGTGCCAAGCATTTTCACCTCTTGGACGGGGGAAAAAAATCAGAAAATACCGGACATCTCAGGTGTCCGTTATTTTCTGAATTTT